AAACAGAATGAAGAAAAATGAACAGATCCTAAGACCTGTGGGAAACCATCACGCGTGCCAACATATGCACTACGGCAGTCCCAGAAGAGGGAAAGGGGCAGAAAGAATATCTGAAGAAATAATGGCCAAAAACTTCCCAAAGTTTACTTCCCAAAGTGTACTTCCCAAAATACACACACACACACACACACACCACCACCACCACCACCACCACCACCACCACCACTACCACCACCAACAGATGGATTCTGAAACGTTTTATAAAGTGGGAAAAAAGTATATGCTGATTAAAGAATCAGATCCCAGGCTTACGATTGCCAATCCACCACTTGAACAACCTGCTGAATTATCCTGATCAGATGAAAGTAACTATGATGAGAATATCCATGGCCCTTCTATGTGGGAGAAAAAAATCTCCAAAAATTTCATGTATATGTTGTCTCACTTGTTCATAAGATTTTTTACTCTGAAGTAGAACTTTTGATTTTGTAGGAATCACATGATAAAACATTTTGCAATCTGATTAGATTCTAAGTGGTCAGAGGACTTCTCATCAGTCATATGGAAATCACTTTTTATGTTCATGACTGTGACACTGAGAATAACCTGCGGCACTCCTTTCTTCTCCTGTTGGTAACAGGAGAAGCAAGATCATTAAGACCTAACTTTGGAACTACAGAAAATAAACTCAAAGCATCAATGAATATAAAGTCTCCTACAAAAGATTCTTGCAACAAAAAGTACCACACAAGTACCCTTAACCAATATGACTGGAGGAAAAAAAATCAAATAAACTAAATAAGCAAGAGACATTTTACAACACCAGCCACTTTAAGCAGAAGCTAGTCCTAAAAAGAAATTAATAAAAAGTACCTCTTCTGCATAACAGACAAAAGAAACCTAAAATACCTAAATGCCTCATGAAAACCATCAGCAGTTAATAAACACGTTTTTCCCATTGTGCAGAAAATAAAATATTCATTTCAATTTGTCTTGTGATTCATGGCAAGTAGCCCATTTAATGCCATTCAGGTATTATAGGCTTATTTTCAATTTTTCATACTTAATTTGGGCCAACTGTGAATAAAGGTTATCTTTATCAAATTCATAATTAAAATAATGATACTCTTACTTTTATTAACTATCTTGTATTGATGTCATTTTTTAGTATTATTCATCAAGCCCCTGTCTATCAGTGAAACACATGAAGAGATTAATGGATCTTGCATAATACTGCAACACTGTCTACTACAACTGTAGAAGTTCTGAATTCTCGTAATACAGAAGTCAAGCATCTTGAAATGATCATGCAGACCCTCTCTTACCACAGGATGGACACAACATAAAAGGTGATTTGGCTGGTCTCTCCATTATCTAGGCCTACTTTTGGTAGATGCACACGGTAAATGATAACAAGGCTGGCAAAGGGAAAAGAATGTCGTCTCTGAATACCAGGAAAAAGTGATTTCACACTTCACAAAATAGTGGTTCCTTCATTCATATACTTAGTGTATATGACTCTATGTTTGGACTGCATTATGTAAATACCAAAATGTACATATCCTTCTAAGGAAAATAGCTTTACGAGAATTATTACATGCTGCATTTTAAAGTGAGTAGCATCATCTCTATTCTTCATCTATTAAACCTGTAATTTTAAAAAATGCTTTCCATTTCAAAATTTTAAAAATTGTTATATCCCTTGCTAGTAACATTAAATGTATCCCTAATTCTTTTTTTTTAAACATTTATTTATTTGAGAGACAGAGAGAGAGCACGAGCAGAGAAGAGAGGCAGAGGGAGAGGGAGAAGCAGACTCCCCACTGAGCAGGGAGTCTGACGTGGGCCCTGATCCCAGGACCCTGGGATCATGACGTGAGCTGAAGGCAGACGCTTAACCGACTGAGCCACCCAGGTACCCTTAATGTATCCCTAATTCTTTAATAGGATTCTATGGCATATAGCTAACAAAAGTCTTCTGTCCACTTTTTGAGGATCTGACAGAGAAGGAAAGGAGGTACAGGTAAAGAAATGTCTAAATTTAAAATTTAAAAACATAAAAAGACATAAATTTGGGTAAACATTTTAGAAGTGACTGATACTGTCTCATGTTGAGTTATTAATTTAATGAGTTTATTTTAAGCATCAAAATTAAGAAAGATTCAGAATAAACACAATATATACAAAAAGCTTACAAGAACTTAGTGTTGGTAGTCTATGAATAAAACAAGATTCAGGAAGACCTGTGATCAAACCCCAGCTCTACCACTTACTAATAATGCAAACTTGGGTAAGTTTGCTCACTTGTCTGAGACTCAATTTCCCTGGCTATTAAGTGGGAAAAATACTACCTACCTCAAAAAGTACTGGTTGGAATTCAATAAAACAACATAGAATCTCTACATGATGCTAGACTCAAAGACTACTATAATTTTTATCAAAAGTAGAATGTGAATAGTATTTCACATGACACAAAATGCATCAGGAATTCTATCTAGATCACTGGCAACAAAATAACAATATTGGTGGAAAAATCATTTAATTATTTTAGACTCTAAACCTATAAAAGAAATGGTTTGAACTAGACATGACTTTCTAAAATTCTAGAATTCTACCTTAAAGTGATGCCCAGAAATTTTGCTCCAAAATTTACCACAATAAATAACCCAGAGGAAAAATTCTAAGAACATCAAATGAAACAGGCAGTGTATATTAAGAATCTGAAAAAATTTCATGCACTTTGAGTAATAACCACATTTTTAAAAATCAATTAAAAGAATCTTACCAGAGTTATGTACAAAAAAGATGTTTAATGTTAATTCTAATTGGGAAAACTTAACTATCTTAACTATAAATCAAGAACTTACAAATCAAGTTCTCAAAAAATTCATGACATAGTAAGCACTTACAATGCTGAGTGAAAAGGGAAAAATATAAAACAATATTTACAGTTCTATTTTTTTAAATGTTTGTAAAATAAAAAGAAAAACCAGCAAAATATTAGCAGAGGTTATCTCATATTAACAGAAATGGGTTAGTTTTTTTCCAATGGATTATTTCCCAATTTTCTTCCATACAACTATGATTTCCACAATGAAAAAAAAAACACAATAGTCATTCATATTAAAAAAAAAAAAAAAACCTCTCAGCAAAATAGAAGCTAAGAAAACTTCCCCAAGCTGATGAAAACTGTTTACAAAAAACCTACAGCTAATTATTTAATGGTAAAAGACTGCATGCCTTACCCACCAAGATAAAAAACAAGGCAAGGAGGCCTGCTCTTACATGTCCTATTCAACAGCATACTGGAGGTCCTAGCCAGTGCAGTCAGACAAGAAAATTAAATACAGCTGACCCTTGAAGAACTCAAGGGTTAGGGGTGCCAACCCCCTCATGTCAAAAATCTGCATATAACTTCTGATCGAATGATAATTTTAATTATAAATTATATAGTTCAATAAACCTAAATTTTAAAGGACATAGGACATGCCCTTTTGAAAAATAAACGTCAGATTAAATGAGCTATACCCATCTCACTGGGTTTGGGGACAGGGGAGACTGAGAAAACCAAAATAACCTTAGAAATACTGCAAATCAAAAAGAAAAAACTTATCCTCAAGATTTATCTGTAAGAAGAAATAGACACTGATATAAAGAATTAATCTAAAGAGAGTTGCCTTTTTCATTAAGTTCCGGTTGTTTGGACAGAAAGTAACAAAATCTTGATGAGCTTATAAGAAAGTCCAAAAGTCACAAGGAACAGGCTGATAAAGGAGCACTGTGGTTATGAGCCAGAATTTGGAAACAAGTTACCTAAGGCTCCCCTTCCAATTTACTAATGTCAATACTCTCATCCAGTCCAATGCACTGCCACCCCAAATTCTATTAAAAGAAATATAATAAACCTTCAAATAGCTTTCTTTATTTATACCAATCCTACATACTTTAAAAATCATTCATCTACAGCTAGGGGTACAAGATAAAAATGCCTCTTACTAGGCAAATTCTTATTTATCCACTTAACCTCCAGATCAGCTAATTCCTTTTCTTTTTTACTGTCACCAAAAAAAAATATTAAATAAGTGCTGTCCCTCTGTGATGACTCTGCAGTTTCTTTCTGACTGGTATTAAGATGATTACAAAAAGCTCTAAGAAGTTTTGAGCTTATGACTCCAATAAGAAGATACATTTTTCCATGTCATAAAAGGGGTAAATTGTAACTTCCAGCACTGTTTATGTTTATTCCATTTGGCTTATACTGTTGCTAGGATACCAATTCATAGTAAGATTTCCAAGCCCACAGAACAACTTTCCTAGCCAGTCAACTTTGTAACCAGGGCGATTGTGGACCACACAATTTTCTGGCTCGCCAGCACCACACAGGTGCACTCTCCCTGACATCCCCCGTGCTCCATTTACCTAACAGGTACAGTAAGCATTGCCAATTCCTTCACTGCAACAGAAATTGTAGCATAGGGCAAACAGGATGATTAGAAGCGTAGGGATCTCTGATGTCAGAGAACAAAGTGAATCTACTGTCACTCCCTGTTCTCCCACCCAGCTAAATATTCTGGGTATTTTGCCTTTAAACCGTAGGGTGAAATGTTAGACCACTCCAATCACTCCACCAACGAACATGCAAACACTATTCCCAAAAGCCATCACCCAACTACCGCCCGGATAAATATTCAGAGAGGAAGGTGGCATCAGTATCTGTACAGTTCGGAAAGGAAGGGAAGGAAAGGAGTCGGAATTCTTAAGGGGCCGCTGAGTCACCTACAGCTGTGGCCAGGACTTCACCCTCCAGGAAATCAGGCTCTGCCCCAACTCCCACCACGGAAGCGAGCGAGAGAAGCAGCAGCAACATCACCCTACCAAAAAAACATCCAGCACCGCTTTTAATAGTGTTACCACTCCTTAAAGTGAAGCCAGAAATAGGTTTCATGTCCAAAGCTTTCCACCACAGTACACACCATGGGCAGATGAAGAAACATCTTTATTGTGGGGAAAGGGGGCGCACTTAGAGGGATGAAGGATGCCTCACCACTTGGAAAGTTACTGGGTCCGGCCTTAATCCCAAAATGCCACTTGCATTGCAACATGTGGCCCAGGGTTACAAAAGAAATGTGGCTGACGGACGTTGCAGACGGACGTTACGCCGGTGTACAAAGCAAAGCAGAGGGGGAAACATAAATCAGGCGCCATCGGTGAAAACCCGGCAAGGATCTAAGTCTCCGTTCGGTGGGAGGTTCGGTGACACAATAATCACGTGTACTGTCCGTAGACGTTCGGAAATATTCGATTCTGGAACGTGCAGGGGCCGAAACCAGCCGGCAGAGCAAGTACCGGTCGGCACCAGCGGCCGGGTTAGCGCGGTTCCGTTCCAGCCCGAGGCGGGTCACGCCTCCGACTCCCGGTCCCGGCGACCTCCGGGGGCGAAGCCGGAGCCGGCGCGAGGCGGAAGCCTGGCCGCGCTCCCCGCCCGCGCCCAGGCCGCCTCCGGGTGCACCGCCGGCCTCGCGCGGCCCCGGCCCCCAGACCCAGGCCCGGAAGGCGAGCATCGATTTACCTGCTCCCCGCTCTGGCTGCCGCCGCCGCCGCCGCCACGCCGCTCACCCACACTGCCAGGTGAGCCACCCAGCACACGGCCCCTCACGCGCACACCCGGGGCACGACCCCAAACCCGTTGGGGGGGGGGGGACCGCGACCCCAGCCACACAAGTTGGGATAGCCCACGCACCACCCGGCTTCGAACACCTCTGCCCCCGGAAGTTGATTTCCTCCAAAGCCCGCCCAAAGCTGCGGCTGTCACTCAACGCCAACACGCGCGTCACGTGGCCCGAGCTGAGGTGGCGGGGGGCATCTTCGGAGCCACGCCTCCAATCGCTTGACTAGTCCCCGGAGGTTGCCTTATGAAAAGGGATGACGCAGGAGCTACCTCCTGTTAGTTATAAGTTCTCGTTCCTCGTGAGTGACAGGCCCAGTTTCTATGCCTAATGCATGCAAATAAAACCATCCCCAAAATGATACTCCCCTCTGGGATTCTGTAGGATTGTTCCTGAGAAGAGCCACGCCTGATCTTTTCACCACTTCCAGGCAGAGTTCAGTAAAAACGAATTTAGCCAAATGCCTGACAGGTAGTAAGTGCTCAAGAAACAGTTGACTGGACAACTATTCCATTTCATCTTTGCGTATCTGAACTCTCAAGCGCGGTAATGCACCTAAGCCCAGAGCCTCTCCAAGACCATAGGACATCAGTCAAAGACTGCTCAAGAATTATTTTTGTACTTGACCCCTACTCCAGATTATAGCAATTTATACATGCCATCTCTGTTTCAGAGACAGTTTATTTTCAACTGCCAAGCCACCCACTTTTTGCCAAGCCTTCAAATAATGTCTCCTGACGAAAAAGAAAAGAGAATGACATAACTATCAGGGTTTTATTTGAAATGAAGCATGATTATATAGGTTTTTTTTTTTTTTTGTCCATTTCAAGGTGTCAGTAACTGTTAAAGAGAAACAGTCAAATAGCTGGTCACCTGTTAAAGATTCTTCCATCTTTGACAGGGGAGGGATTTGAGGACCGTTCATTTAACAATTTTTTATTAAATGTATACTTGGCCCGCTGGCAATGAGAAAATGGACCGGATACATTGAAGATGTTTGCCTTCAAGGAGTTTAGAGTTTAGTGAGAGTGAGAAAGACTGACAAGTAATCTGGGAATGTTGATCATAAGTCTCTGGAATATTCCCACCATCGTATAACAGGCATTCTTTAAAATTTTGGATGTTATTTTTCTCATCTTTCCACTGAACAAAATTGGTTCAAGCCTTTAATAATCTCTGCTGTGTACTGAATGTGGAAAATGTCAGCAAGTAATCCTAACAATTCTCCAGTTACTGCAGGCTTATGTGGTTAGTGAGTAGCTCCAATATTGAGCACAAATGTCACTCTTCTACACCCACTTTTTCTGTCCACCATCGTCCTGCACACAGTGAACAGGTTTCTATTATAGCAAATATGATACTTCCTTACCCAAATTTATTTACCTATCTACTACACCACTAAGACCACTTTTCATTTGTATCTCTCTCTCAATCTACTTCTCATTTGTCTTCATATATGCAGCAATATCACAGTATTTAGTGATTAGAAGGTATTCAATGAATTGTGCAACCATCACAACAATCAACTTCAGAACATTTTTCTCACCTCAAAAGGATATCTCATACCCTTTGTCAGTCACTCCCCATTCCTCCTATTTCCTGCCCCTTTGGCCTAGACAAGCACTAATTCACTTTATGTCTTTAGATTTGCCTATTCTGGACATTTCACATGAATGCAATCATGCAATATGTAGTCTTTTCTGGCTGGCTTCCTTCACTTTGCATCATGTTTTCAAAGTTCATTTATCCATACATCAGTTGGTGGACATTTGGGTTGTTTCCACTTTTTGGCTATTAGGAATAATGCTTCTATGAACATTCATAGGAAGCATTTATTGTGTCAAGATAACATTTTCATGGGTATATATACCTAGGAGTGGAACTGCTGTGTCATATGCTAATTCTATGTTTAACCTTTTGAGAAACTGCCAGACTGTTTTCCAAAGTAGCAGTATACTAGCAATGTGTGAAGGTTCTAATTTCTCCATAGTGCCTCTTATCTCCTTAGAACTTAAGTTTATTAGAACTGATGGCTCTATTACTTGTCAGGGTATTTTTCATAAGCCATCTTGTATTATTATTTATCTTTGTTATGTATGTATCTGCAGGCTGCAGGCCCATTACCCTAATAGACTGTGACCTTCTGAGCAGAGAAACATGGTTCCTTGCCCTCAAGAGGATCAAGTTTGGAGAAAGACATAAACAATCAAATAGAGTAATAACAAGCACTGAAATCAAGTTTATTTTTAAAATATGGAGGAGGAGCATCTTATTCAACCTCCATTAAACAGGAAGTACTTCTCATAAAATGTAAAGCTCAAGATGAATCTTGAAGGATCAGTAGGAATTGGCCAAGCTAAGAAACAAAGTATGTTCCAGACAAAAGCATGGGTACCTTGGTATGTATCTCCTTGCCTATGAACTGTGGAGGTAAGTATAGTGTGTAGGTAGGTATAGTAGAAGCAAAGGTGGTGATGTGTGGGAGTGTGGCAGGAGAAGTGTGACCTGTAGATAGGGTCAAGATGGATGGAGAGTAATGGATTATTTAAGTGAGGTTGGGGGGAATTACTTCAGCAGCAGTGCACAGGATGGATTATTAGATAGGGAACAGGTTTTTCTCTGGAAAAACAGAGAAGCCAGTTAGAAGACTGATAAAATAACTAGGATGAAGAATTATGGAAGCCTGAGTTGAGGTGGTAGGTAGCCATGAGATTGGCAAAAAGGATTTGAAAGCAAAAATATAGGCAAGAACTGAAGATGTATTCCAGGTTTCCGATGCTATTCAAAGAGGTAGGGGATTCAGGAAGAAGGTGATACACTTGCTGATAAGAATAATGAAACACTACAACTTACTACTATTGAAGTTGATATGCTGTTGCAGTCACCCACAGAAATGAGATGGATGCCCACCTAAAATTTGGTTCATATTTCAAGATTTCTGATACCATGCCTGCACCAAGAGGGTGTAAGAAGGTCTATTAGTCACATAATGAGACTTTCTAGGAAGAGCAAGGCAGGCTTCCCAAACAAGTCCAAAATGGCTGGGATGGGGTACAGGGAGGTTGGGAGAAACACTGGCCCTTACGGTTTTTATGGTGGCTAGGGCCATGATACTGGGGTGAAAATTCCTACACAGGAGCCAGGGCTTGTGTGGCCTGAATTACCACTGGCACCAAAGAAGGGAGCACCCAAGCTTTCTTATCAGCATCCCCAGATATGAGGCAGGAGGGAACGATGACGGCTTGAAAGTTGTCAACCGTTAAACATCAATTAGGGAATCAGAGTCTTTATTACCTATGTTTAGGGTTAGGTTTCATTTTGTTTTGTTTACTCCAACAAGAAAATAATATAATTTTTATGTCTTTATATGCTTTGAAAATGATTGTAGTGGACACTTGCCTTCTCAAAATTTGTTCCACTCTTCCCATATTGTGCAGCACACACCTGAGCAGTTTGGGTTGAATTAACCTCACCCTTATCCCAAAGTTAATCCAGTCAGGTTAATCCTGACCCATGATGTTCCCTTGGCCACAAATGGTTTGGGATTGAGCGCCAGTCTTAGAACTTTTGCCCCCAAATTGTGTGATGTGGCTCCCTTTCTCCCTCTTGATGTAAATGAGAAAAGGATATGATCCTTGTTGCTGAAGGCAGTCATCTTTTGACCAAGAAAATGAAAGAGAAATGGAGCTGAAACCCTAATCAAATAAACAAAGATCTATACCATTGTATATAAGCAAAAGGATGTAAAGTAAAAACTGTGAAATTTTTAAATAAGCATTTTTCTGGCCCCTTTCTCCTCCTGTACTACATTGTTCCATTATGTGAGCCTTCAAATCAAATCAACATAGAGTTTGACTTTTTTTGCTACTGATCCTCAGTATCAAATACTGAGTAGTGTATTAAATGTAGGTTAAGTCGATTTGAATTTTAAAATGTGCACATATGTGTTACTTACCTTACTTTATACTCTAATGGTTGTCAGTTGCCATAATCTAGAATTTGCACTTTAGATGTATTCAGCTGGCGTTTAATCAGAAAGTCTGCATTCCAAACATAGCAACAATAAATGCTTCTGGTGTCATTATCTTCCATTAACACCTGAGGCTTTGCTAATCACTGGACCTTATAAATGGGTTTTCATAAGTGAAGCTATGGGTTTTCTGTTAGTGTAATGACTCTCATTGAGGAACCAGTGGTGTTCATGATATATAGATTGAATAAAATATTTCAGAGATAATCCCTACCTTGCATGACCAAGGTTATAAAAAGTACACTCTGTAGTCTGCATTTTTAGGAACAGCACCATTCTGACCTCAAACAAAAATGTCTAAACTCCTAATACTCTTCAGTATGCCAAAGATGGAACAGTTTAATTTCTGCTTAACTAAAGGGAGAATCATGTTCATTATGGAGGTGACTGCAGACATCATGTTAATTATGGAGATAAGGAATAAATTATTTGTGCCTTTTCCTCCCCACTGCAAGTTCATATTTAGAATATTCCCAACACAGACACCATTAAACTGAGATCTCAGGATGGGCCATTAAATTAAATTTAGACTGGCAGAGTATGAAGGGCTACTAGGAAAGAGAAATTCCAAGATACAAAAGTTGGACTACAGATGGTCTCTGGCCATTGTCACTTTCCTATAGAAGTAACAATAAGGAAATAGTTCAAAAACCTAATATGAATGGGAAAATATATTTATTGTTAAATAAACCTCAAGCCTGACTGATAATAACTTGTGACTATTTAATCTGAAGACAATCCTCAGACTTCTACATTCAAACTAATAGGAAATGAGCTGCCAAAATAGTGTAACCTCTTAAAAAGAGCATCTTCCCCAGTGACCAGCTCCGATGGGGCCATAAAGGACACTGAGAGCAAAACAGTACCTGTCCAGAGAACCCATACCCCTGCCATCAGGAGTCCTCACTATTCCTGTCTGCAGAATATGACAAGGATCAGTGACTACTATGTAATGTTTCCAGATATACTCTTTTTTAAAAATTTTTTTATTTATTTGACAGAGAGAGACACAGCAAGAGAGGGAACACAAGCAGAGGGAATGGAAGAGGGAGAAGCAGGTTTCCCATGGAGCAGGGAGCCCGATGCAGGGCTTGATCACAGGACCCCGGGATCATGACCTGAGCCGAAGGCAGACGCTTAAAGACTGAGCCCCCCAGGAGCCTTCCAGATATACTCTTTATAATTGGAAGTTTTCATTGCAATTACTTTGTCCTTTCTCTTCCATTGCATTTTGCACTTGTTGGGAGTAGGTAACTTGTCACTGGTTGCTAGAACATAAGGAACTCCAGATGAAGCTAAAACACTTTGGAGAGACAGAAAGAAGATGTTCAATAATTACAGTAACTAATTACAGTGTTTGGTCAGAAAAGGGTCAATGGACATGGTAGTTGTTATCCAAACATGAATTTCACTCTTTCCCCATTGTGTAGTATTCAGGTATATTGGGTAAGATTAGCCCTAAACTTTTCTAATGTTATCCCTAATCAGTTCAAGCCAGAGGTTACACCCAACCATGCCACAGTTAGGGGGGAGTTACCCTAACCATAAGAATCAAGGATCATCCAACAAGCACAAAACTCAGGACCATTGTTCAGTGGTTGTTAGAAGGAACTCTCTATCTTCCTGAGGATGTAAGTGAAGAAGGATATAATTCCTACTGCTTTTAACAGTCATCCTGTGACCATGAAGGAAAACAGTCTGAGGATAAAAGCAGATACAGATTGTAGAACAAAGCTGATATAATTCAGAGAAATGGAGCTGAAGCTTTGATTAAATCAGCTCTAAAGTTTCTCTCACCTCCATGGGACTTTCCATTTATTATTTAATCCAGTTTGAATTAGGTTTTCCCAAGTGTTTTAACTCGTAGAAGGATTTTGTCTCTAGCTTCATATTAAATGTCAGAAAATGAGTTGTCATTTTCCTAAAATGGAAAAGAACTTTTCCGCCTTCTTCCCTTTCCCTTTGTCAATGTTTTCATGCCAGAGTGAGATTGAAAATGATATACTGTCCTCAGAGCAGTTCTTTAAGATTCATATGATACTCAGCTTTCACATTAAACCAATAGAAACTACTTCAAATATGTATTTGTAACATTACACATAATAGATGGAAAAAATAAACTGTGAAAGTCTTTAATAAGCACCTTACTGCCCCCTCCTCTAATCAGGTCTTCTTTGACTTCTATGCAGCATCTAACCCATTTATGAAATTTCCATTATATAGGAGATACATGATCCTTAACCTCACAATCATTTGCACATTGTCATTAGCCACCATTTTGGTTTGCACATTTTGACTTGATTAATAACTGGGCAAGAATCATTCCCTTAATGTCTAAAAAGCTTTTGCAAAAAAAAAATGCTTTTGTACAGCAAAGGAAACCATCAACAAATTGAAAAGGCAACCTACTGAATGGGAGAGGATATTTGCAAATGATATGTCTAATAAAGAGTTAATATCCAAAATATATAAAGAACTTAATACAACTGAACACCAAAAAATATGATTGACAAATGAGCAGAGGACCTGATTAGATATTTTTTCAGAGACATACAGATGTCCAACAGACATATGAAAAAGTGTTCAACATCACCAATCTTCAGGGAAAATTGTGAATCAAAACTATAATGAAATATCACTTCACACCTATCAGAATGGCTAGTATCAAAAAGATAAGAAATAACAAGTGTTGGTGAGGATGTGGAGAAAAGAAACCTTCATGTACTCTTGATGGGAAAGTAAATTGGTACAGCCACTGTGGAAAATAGTATGGAGGTTCCTTAAAAAGTTAAAAAAAGAAGTACAACATAATCCAGCAATTCCACTTCTGGGTAGCTGAAAAAAAAAAAAACAGAAACACTAATTGGAAAAGATATATGTAGCCCCACTTTGTTGCAGCATTATCTACAATGGCCAAGATGTGGAAACAACCTAAGTGTCCATAAATAGATGAATGGATAAAGAAGATGTGATATACATATACAATGGAATATTACTCAACCATAAAAAAGAATGAGATCTTGCTATTTGCACCAACATGGATAGACTTAGAAAGCATTATGCTAAATGAAATAAGACAGAAAAAGACAAATATCATATGATTTCACTTATATATGGAATCTAAAAAACAAAACAAACACTCGTAAATATAGAACACAAACTGGTGGTTGACAGAGGGTTGGGGTGGGGAGATGGGCTAAATAGGTGAAGGAGATAAAGAGATACAAACTTGTAGTTATAAAATATGTAAGTCATGAGGATGTAAAGTACAGTATAGGAAATATAGCCAATAATATTATAATAACTTCGTATGGTGACAGATGGTAACTAGACTTGTTCTGATTATTTTGTAATGTACATAAATGTTGAATCGTTATGTTGTACACCTGAAACTAATATA